GGCCAGGAATCTTCATCACCTCTGGGAAAATCTAAATCTCGATGACAAAACCTAAATTGAATTAAATCTAAGAACCGATGTTGGGAGACAGCGATATGTCTTGAAATCGTTCTCAGATGCATTCACTGTTTGTAACCTCCCAAGTCCATTCACAGTCATCATGTTTCTTCATGTTATTATTCCTTCCCCCATATATTTCTCCTAATTGTAGTTCTTTCGGATTTCATTTTTTCCCTTTTCTCTGCCAATGTGTGCTATATAAGGTGTGACTACGTGAACTTCTATACGTCTGTACAAAGTTTTATATTTTAAAAGCTAGTCATTCAGTCAGTCAGAGTAGTTGAAAAAAATTGAACCATTCACTACATAAATATTTATTCAAAAAGATCCAGATTTGTAATTAATAGTGTTCTCTGAGCTGGTTGGTTTAGTTGCGGAGCTTTCGTCGTCCTTCTGGATAACATCCCCTTTCAGCGCAATATTTAGCATAAACTGAAATGATTTAAATTTCTTCATGAGTGAGATAATTGCATCCGTCTCCTGGTAACCATCTTTACATATGTATTGACCATTTTTTATTCACTCGGATTTTAAAATTTCTGGTCACCTGATTTAATTTTTATTAGTTAGTATATTTCGTCTATATTAACGTGTTTGTTAATTGCATTTTCGTTTGAGTACCAGGCTTCTAGGAATTCCCTGGCGCTTTTGGTGTTTCCTCTGTCTAAGATTTTGACATTATCCCAATCAAATTGATGACCATAATTGTCTGTATGCATTGATACTAAAGAATACATATCGTGTCTTTTCACGGTTGATTTGTGTTCTTGGATTCTGATTCTAAGGGGACGCCCACTTTGGCCGATGTATTTTGTAAATAAATTAATTGTACGAACTGCAACAAGCATTACATCGCTGGGAATGCAGGCACATCCAGATGACGTGTCTGCATTGGGACGAAATGCACAATAGGGATTCCACTGTTAGTTATCACGAACTAAAATAACCGAGCAATTCGTTTGTAGGCATTTTTTTTGTTAGAAATATAATACCGTCGTCTTATGGTTGTTTGAAGTTTATTGTAACCATAGTTTCGCGAAAGTATGACGCCCTAGTCTTTGATAGACTTTACTCACTTAATAGCCTTCAGAATGAAGAGACCTTTGATTGGTTATGATTACATTATATCGATCCCAGCATAAATTAAAATACCTAGAATATTCTTTTCGTAAAACAAGCTATTACTACTACATTCAATAATGTGTATAGATTATTGTTATCACATCATGAAAATGTGTTATCGCATATATATATATATTTATTTTTAATAGGTGGTTTTATCGTACAATCGGCTACAAACCTGATCGTCGACGTGTTGCATGCGTCACACTGATATTCGCAGTATTCTTTATTCTCACCCGGAATTTAATGATTCTACCATTTTGGTATATATCTTTTATATCTTATAAAAGTGAAGCCTATAAAATATGCATTCAATCCTTTCCACTAATGACCACTATCTTTGTGACTACATGTGGCCTATTGGATTGTTTAAATATTCACTGGGCATTTCGTACATGTCGTATCGGTTCAAAGGCTATTAAAACTCTATCAACTGTTGATTGGCAAAGTGATATTCGCAAGGCTCAAGCACGTATACACAAACGTCTGCGTAATCTGCACAGACGTGTTGTGACAAAAGACGCAAGGGGGAATAATGTCACATCCCTAACAGATAATCATTTCAGTGAAACTTCATTGATGAACAGTGTTACTATGTGTAGTAGTAGTGGAATGTCATCATCGAGTTATTCAACTGACAGTGAACATGAATCTGTGTGCTCAGATGTCGGTGAATTTCCAGTGCCTGCTGTAAATGATGACCAAGAGAAGGAGCAGCAGGAGGCGGAGGAGCAGGATGTGGTAATTACAACTACTAATGAAAATGCCTCTTCTAATTGTACACAGGATGGTGATAATAATAATAATGACACTGAGTTAATACATCGTGTTGATAAGCAAGAGATTGATTGATTGATTTGTCGATTGATTCAGTATGCATCCATTGAATGATTCAATATTCTGTGCACTGATTTACTCAATATTTATTAAATTACACCTTGTGTTCGACTTTGGCATAATAATAATAATATTAATAATAATAATGGCAATAAAATGCAATAAAGTGTGTACGTTCGTGTATACAATGAGATCATTCACCTTTTTTTTCTTCTTTTGACTTATTGATTGACCTCATACGCTGTGTTGCGTCAAACTTCAGAGTACTCTACACTAATTAATCCATGTTGTGCAAAATGTAGTCTTCTTCTTTTTTTTTATATGAATACACTTAAATTATTATTATTAGTATTATTACTATTTGTAATATTCCTATCACAGCTGTCTTATCATCATATATTATAATATAAAGATTCAAAGTCTATTCACAAATCCAAGAATATTTTCCACTGATGACTGACTACTATTCCTGTACAGTTTTTACAAAGTGAACTCCTCTTATCTTTCTCTTCCCGTCGCCACCCTCCCCCCTCTCGTTTATTTCATTCATCATATTTTATGTTGTTCTGTTTTGTTTTTTATTATTGCAGCACACAATGTCATTTCATCTATTGATTTCATATTCCTTTAAAAAACAAAACAAATGTTGATTCTTATTTTTTAGCATTCAAATTTTGAAATATGATTGTTTATGTATAGAAGGTAAGGCAGTTCTATCTGTGTGTTTAAAGCTACTGTCATAAATCTAAGAACTGACTTATTACATTACTGAATTACCTGGAAACGTGTCAGTTCCGAAACTAGAATGTCACGTGCACTAGCTAGCTAGCTGGCTGGCTAACTCATGATCTGATCTCAGAATGTGATATTGCTAAGTAAGGATTTTTTGGCTAGGTATATATATATATATATATATATATATATATAGTTGGACGTTGACAGCTATCACATGAAAAGTGCTACGAATGGTGTTTCTCTAACTGAAGTTGCACAGTTAAGTGAAGAGTGACTGTAAACTATAGGCACAAACACGAGAGAACCAGACAAGCTTTATACCAGGAACCATTCAACATATCCTGGAACATAGACATACTTACCGTTGGCGTCCAACAATCGTTACATTCCTTGACTTGAGTGCGGCATTGGATTCCGTCGACCGAGAGCTACTATGGAGGCACTGTGATAGTAAGTAATTCCATATTAGTTTGTTTATTAGATGTATCACACAGTGAAACAGTATTATTTACTGGATGACGTATCATATCAAATATGATTATGAACAATAAATTTTGTTCGAAACTTTGTGATCCCGTAAATAATACTGTTTCACTGATTTTTTTCCCTTCACATTCCCAGTGGAACATAGGGCTTCAAGTAAGAGGCTTGAAGTTTCAGTAGCAGTGGTGTTTATTTTTACAGGATGGGGTTGCTAGCCTTATGCCCAACCTCTCACTTCTTTACCAGTCTTAGGGAGGTAAAGGAGTGGATCATCAATGGCAGGGAATCGAACCCTAAACCATCTGACGCGTGGTTGGCGAGCATTCTACCGCTATCTGTCTGTTTTCGACATAGAAATTTGCACATATGTACGCCAGTTCAAGTCGCCACACTCCCTCCATGTAGCACACAAAGCAAGAGAAGAAAGTAGGAGAAATGCATATTAGAGACAGTAAACAGAGGTGTGAGACAAAGGAATAGTAATAACGAGGAACAAAACAGTTTCATTGGAAATCATAAGTCACAAGGAGTGGATGCATCTGCGCTAGCCATTGAGAACGATTTTGAGCCATGTCACCAATTGTTTCCAGCCTTCATTGGTTTTTACCGTCCCGAGGACCCCAACCAGTCATGAAGTCTACACCTTCCAACGTGGCTGGCTTAAACTAACTGTTGTAGATTTCATTGACTGTTGCCATGTTTTCGTTTGACCACCGCCAGCTCTTTTCCAGCCAGCTAACATTGCCCGTCGAGTAAGGCGATAACTACCGCTGTGCCATCGACGCACCTGATTTATTAAACGTTTATTAAACACATGATTATTTGTGTTGTTGTCTTGTCGTGGAAAAACAAAAATATTGTGTAGGATGTATCCTCTGTTAAATTTTGATAAAAAATAATAATAATACGGAGGACGATGATGATGATGAAAACAATAATAACAACAATTGTCTACCTAAATATCGAGTAATCAGTATCACCTGTTGATAAAATACACCTTTATAATGACGAAGAGGAGAGAGTATCTAAAGAATCAAAATAACCTGTGAAAAACTTTTAATTAACATTGAACATTGAAACACTAACTAATTTGTCAACACTTACCCACACATTTAAATTAGAATATCTAATCATCATCATTGATTTGATATTATATAATGCATATAATAATAATAATAAATGTAGTTTCATATATGAAAACATCGAATTTTGATTGGACACTAGTAACTAGTGCAACGTGTCTAGTCCTCTGTTTGGTGCCGACTGAATTCTATCAGTCAGGTTTGCAATGTGGCCACCATTCTAGGTAGGTCGCCATTACGGTGCACATTGGTTTGATGATATTAGATGGTTAGAGGCAATCGGCAGAAAACCTTGCTTGACCTAGGTTTCGTGCTAGTTGGCGTATCTGCACCCTTGAAGGAACTCATGTCCCTTCTGAGACTCGAACCCGCGCCACCCAGTGCTGACTGCAGTCAGAGACGTTACCACTGAGCTATTCAGGCTCGCGATTAACCTCCTGTTGGACTGTAGTGGGTATTTTGATTAGACACTAGTCAGTAACTAGTGTGATGTGTCTATTCTTTTCTTTGGTGCAGACTGAATTCTATCAGTCAGGTTGTAATGTGGCCACCATTCCAACCATCTAATATCATCAAAACCAATGTGCACTGTGATGACCTGACAATCACTCCAGCAGAGTATAAGATAAACTAAATTGTTTTGTTTTAAAGGCTCCACAGGATTGATCCTTTAACCGACAAAGCTTGTTTCTAATTGAGTTTGTGAGTTTGAATGCCGCTTTTATTCCTGCCTTGTTAAGAATTCTGCGTAAGGTTTCCGAGGTTCCTTCCTTGTATGGAATTACTACTGATGATTTAGATTCCTTATTGTTGGTGTTGTCTTGCGCATATTTGACACGCATGTCGTCATTAATATTATGATTATTATTACTATTATTATTATCACTATCGTTATTTATTTTATTTTTACATTTCCTTACATATTTCCTGACTAATTTATCACGGTAATTATTAAGTTTCAAGGCTTCTTTTATGTGTGTCACTTCCTGTCTTAGATTTTCCTTGGTACTACTTAGTTCAGTTAATCTTGAGACTGCCGAAAACTCATTAGATTTAAAACAAGTAACAGAATTGTTGTAGCCTTCTTTTTGCTTATAAATTTCGGTCATTTACGAAAATAACCGCTTACGCCTACTTCGATTCCTACTTTTCAATCAATGGAATTTATTGATGATGAAATAACGAGTTCAAGGCCGAATTAAATATAAACTCTTTTTTAACGGCTTCGTCATTCTCATAAAGTCGGTCGTTTTAAAAAAAATTCAGTCATGGATGACAAAGTAAACCTTTTTTTAAAAAACTACAACCAATTTGCGGTACAGATTTATACAAACTAAGAAAATCACAATGGTCCTAGTACCCTGATGGAAAACGGTTCTACGCGTCGATGTCTCAATGGTGTAGAATGATTGCCAACCAAGCACGTGCTCTGTGTTCAAATCTATCCTGACGCATCCCTAAACCTTCCTTATTCAGTAGTAAGGTCGTTAGAGAGGCAAAGTTGGGCCCTGAGGCTAGCAACCATATACTGTAAAAAAATAACATAGCTCCTAATTAAATTTGACATCTCAAGCACTAGGTCCCGATACCCACTCGGAACACTTAAAGGAATGCAAAAAAAGGAAAATTAAAGTTTGTTTATTCATACTTGTGATTTCCCATTGATGGGGCCTTATTTCCCCACCCCCTAACACACTGGTAACAACTTCTCAGGATAAATCTAATTAGTTCATCCTTTAGTCAGTTACTAGTTAGCAGCAGAATGATTTTCACTTTTTGGATCGTGGGTATGCACTGTGAAGAGTCCCAAACAAGGGCGAAACCACTGTCAAGTGTTTCCTCATTTTCAGTGGTTCTCTACCTATAAGAATAATAGGACGCAAACACTGAAGAAAATTTTTTTCAAAAGAATGGACACGGAACAAAGAGTACTCTTTTCGATAACTCCTTCATCATCAGGCTCTACAGTTATATAAACATTATAATGAATGAATGAATCAGTGTTATGAACAACATTAATGTTGTTTAAATAACATCGAATCAGTAATATTGATAGATTACAGCTCAATAGCATCAACATAACAATAAACTGAATGTTAGACAGACAAATTAAGAAAGATAATATTACAAATTCATGAATTTATAGTTTCTACTTAGGGCCAGGGCAGTAGTAGGAGCTGGACTTGCTTCTTTTGAACACAGAGCACTGGTCGTTTGAGGAAAATTGCAATGGCCTCTACTGTTTGGACCATGCGATGCTTCTATGTTTTTGGCAATTTGTTAGGCACCCGGTAAATTATAGAGAAGGATTCTTCAATGCTGGCTGGCTTTGTGACCGGTTTGCACCAGATGGTCTAATCCCGAGCTGTTAATAGTTTTAACTACACCTTTACTTAGCCATTGTGGGATATGTTCTCGAGCATGAAAAATCTAATTCCTAGAGCAACGGCCAATATAACTCGCTGCACAAGCACAGTTGAATTGGCAGATACAATTTGAAGTGGCTAGCTAGTCTAGGTACTTCATCTTTCAGTCGAAGTAGCACCATCGGTCGTGTAGCGAGCAATACGTGTAGTTCGCCAGTATTAAAAGTTCTTTGAATTGATTTTCTTAATTTCTTCGTAATTATCTCACTTGGTATATCGTCCTTGAATTGTAGTCGTATATAAATGGGCTTCTTGTTTACAACAGATAGTGAGTATTCCTTTTCGGCTTTCTTTGTCATTTGTTTCTTGATAAATTTTTGGGGATATCTAGCTATTTTCGATCAAAGTATTATATACCATGCTTAATTCATCTTCAATTACTTCCTCTGGGCATATAGCTTTTTTTTCTCGACGAACCATTTTTAAAAGCTGTAAAATGGTATTTATATTAAACACAGAGTTCGTAGAACTAATCAGATATTGGTAACTTTGTTCTATAAAATGTATTACTTAATGTGAAGTGTGACATAGAGAGGAGTGACTAAATGGAGAATGGAAAAGGCGACAGAAGTTGAAATGACGCAATAAGTACGAGAAATGACTAACTAATATAAACGTACAAAATACACTAAGGCTAATGGAAAGACGATAAATTGTTTATGTAAAGTTTGTATGAAAATAAAATGTTATATATATACATAAACAATAATACTGTGATTATAAACTAAGGATAATAATGAAAGTAATCGTAGTAACAGTTAACTAACCCCATAAGATGAAGCAAAATACGGTAACAACGTTACTCTGGCCACGGTTATGCAAGTATTATTATTATTATTGTTGTTTCCTTTAATCCCTAGAGGAACATACGGCTTCAGCCAACCGTCTCCATTGCGTTCGGTTCTCTGCTACAGTCTTCACCTGGCTCCAGGTCTGCCCACACGTTTTCATCTCCTCTTCACATGACCTCCTCCAAGTCACCTACCCTCGCA